TTCTCTGTCATGCTCTCTCACCTAGAAATGGAAACCTCCAAATTTAGAAAGCAAAAATGTCAGCCTTAAACCTTTCCATCAGTTCCTCTAGCCATCATGCGGGGTGGAAATACCATCCTTCAAAACGTTTCTTGAGATTCATTGCAAGTTGTAAAGCTCAGCAAGATGCTTAGCTGGAATGGTGCCAGGCAAGGGCAGCATCTCTTTTATTATGAATGTTGAAAAGCAGTAAGCCTGAAGGATGTCCTTGGACTTCTATTTGTGGCTTGGGATGCAGTAAGCATATTGAAGGTGTCATGGCTAATGGGTGAGCAGTGGAAACAATGGGAATTACAGGGCTCGGGCACTCAGCAAATTAACCCAAGCTGATTAAGAGAACTGTAAAAACTCTAAAAAAACCATACACTGGCTGAGTGCTGGTGCCTGAGATGAGGGGGGACCCAAGGACAAGCTGGTGTTCAGGCAGGACAGGGATCATTTGAGTAAGAGCTCTCGCACATTCAGAGAGAAAAACCTGCCTGTAAGAATGTCTTGCAAAATCTGTTCTGGGAAGAAGAGGTACTTGCTGCTTCCCTTCCCTGTCACACTGCTAAAACCTTCATTCCTCAGTCTGGAAACTTCCCTCTCTCCCTGCCAGTAGAACACTGGTCTTTTATATAAATAAAAATCCCTGCAATGGCAATGCCTCTTATTCTTCCAGCACTTGGCTGTCTCTAATCTCACAGCAGAAAGTCCACCATGTTGCCTCTGGATGAACCTTATTTTAATATTGTACAGAGAAATACTTTTCAAATATGTATGAGTAGCTGTAAAACTCATTATCAGTAGATTATTTGGAGACCAAGAACATGGGACAGGAAAAATCATGACACAGTAATATCCTAATGGAGCAAGTAAAGTACTATTTGGTTCTTTAACATAATACTGGAATTAAAATAAAATTATTTTGAGGGGTTTTTTTTTCTTATATACAAGGTTTTGGGGGACTTCCCCCCCCAACACACCCAGGAAAACACTGATTCATAGAAACCAAAAGTAGATGATAAAGTCAGTTCTGTCAGAATTGTCACTTAACGCTGTGACGTGTTCTTAACACCCTATTTCAAAGGCACAAAGAATTGGCAGCAATGTCCAATTTACTGAGTCCAGACCTCATTCAAACCTTTCTGCAACTGATTGAGATCTATTTTGAAAACAGCCAGGCTTCAAATTTTGCGAAAGAAAAAGATCTTTTGCTGATTTGAAAGGTCTTTCTTTTTGAAACTGGAATCACAGAACCATGGTGAAATTTAGGCAGGAGCAGTCCCTGGGAGGTCACCTTTTCTACCCGCCTGCTCAAAAAGTCCAGGCTCAATTAACATGAATGACTCTGATGCTGTTGAATTGAAATGTTTTGATTGAGGTGACAGTGCTGGTTTTCTTTTATCAATTTTGAATTTGCAACACTTTTTGAGACTCGACACTTTTTGGCAGGGAAGATGCTCAAATTCCCAAAGATAGATTTTATTTCTAAGAATGGGATGCATTTAAGACTTGTCTGACCAGGATGTTCAGTTTACAATGTTAACCTAGCTCATGAAAAATCCTGAGTGGCCACATCACAGTGTGCAGGTCGCAGTGACACCAACAGCACGGGATAGGACAGGCAGCAATAACACTGCAGGAGTTTGGGGATTTGATACACTTAGTTATCTGCTTTACACTACAAAACCTTCCACCTTTACTAAATGGTTACAGAATATTTTCGTTGGTTTACTTGTGTCTTCCCTAATGCACCCCAGAGGATTATAACAGAGGAGTATAACTAGGTCCCATAGGTCCTAGGTCCCATACCCATAGACCCCAAATCCATAGATTGTCACAAGTATTCATTTTGCTAGTGGTCTGGAAGTGCTAGGCTCTCTCTCAACTTACCTGCTAACAGGCAAACAAGGGAAACAGACAAGAAAGTGGCTTGGATGAGAAAATATGAAGCTGACTGAAACTTTTCTACCCAACTGCCTGGAAGGCAATGGGCAAAGTAGCCTAAGAGTGAGTTTCATTTCTGTGGTTTGGGCAGATTTCCAAGATTTCTGTTCAACATTCTGACTTGATCTCTAAAGCAAAGAGATGATGTTTCCTTTCCATCTTTCTTTCTTGTGATTGCCAGGCACTCTTCAGATCAGGGATTTTCTGTGTGTGTGTTCACTGCTGTGAGACACCTCAGTGCTGTGTGTCATTCTGTTTTTGCTTGCATGGCCCTGGTAGCTCAGGTGCCTCTGCAGGCACAACATGAAACAGCCAGGAAAATGCCCCCCTCTAAGGAGGTGTCCCAAGTGATCTTGATGCTTGGACTACACACAATTATCTTTCTTAAACGGCATTTCGCAGACATAATGGGGAGGAAGATGGTACTTATGAGAAATGCACAAGGACTGAAATGCAAAAGTGAAAATGTTTTATTGAAAAGCAAAATAAAATAATACTGACACTTCACAGACCAAATCACACAAAGGCAAAAACATGCAGAAAAGAGAAGGGAAAACAACTCTGGAACAGCTGTACAACATCAAACAGCACAGGGAGGGAAGATATTTTTTCCAATTTGTGCCACGCTGTTTCCCCACGAAATAACAATGAGGAACTTTGCATGAGGTGCATATTGCATAAATATTAGGTTAGAGCACAGAAACTCAAATGAATCAACTGATTCAGACATGTGCTGTGACAGAATCCCACAATGGAAACCACAAGGGGCTTAGAATGAAATGGCAGGTGGATCTGAGGTGCTTGCAGATCTGCATTATAGCTGAGACTGGGCTTTACCCCTGGCCTGACAGATCCCAGCAAAGCCAGTGGTAAAGCTCCTGGGGGAGTGGAGCCTGCTCCAGTGCTATTCCTTCCACACTGCTCCCTCTGGACCTCTCAGGTCCCTTCCAGACCATCACACCTTTCACCTTGTGGGTGCTCTGCTGATGTCTCTCAGTAATCCTGTTCTCAGGTCGCAATGGCACCAAAGGCCACTGCAGTGGTGCCGGAGATGTATCCAAAGGCCAGTGCAATGGTGCCAGAGAAAGTTCAGGTCTATTAATTATTTGGAAAACTCTTTGAATAAAATCAGCAAAATATATGAGGTGAATTTAACTTTCTAAAATAATCAGACTTACTGAAACATCAGCAGAAATTCTCTTGGTAACTCAGCCAAAGTGAGATGTGGTGTTGTGAGGTCTGGGATGTCAATTCAATTTATGCATATTTTGGAATCAATTTTTTAAAAATCATCTAGGAATCTAACATAGCTCTGTTTTGGCCTCAGGGCTTTCCCTCTGCCTGCAGATCTGGCAGCTGGTTACAGAGATGCTTAAAACACAAACAAAAAGGTGAAGCTGGGCAAAATGACACAGTTGCGATGGGTTCACAAAGCTGAGCATGGTTTTGGGTACTATCTCTTATAAATGTCCCTCCTCAGACAACTACAGTAGAAAAGCTCATAATAAAGCTTTTAAGCACCTATGAGCAGATGACTGCAATTTTATCTGCTTAAAGCAAAGCTTACTTGGGGTGGGGAGGATGAAGAGGAAGGTAAAAAAGCTGCTCTATTTGTTTCACATTTGTAGCATCCTGGTTCCAGCCAGGACAGGGTTAATTTCTGCAGTAGCCAGGAAGGGGCATGGCCAGGATCTGGAGGTTATTCTATATCACCTCACATCACTGCCAGGGGAAGGGAGTCTCTTTCATGGAGAAGGGGTCCCTTCTGGGTTGGTGGGAGGGAATGGTCAGGTATTGTCTATTGTCAGGGGTGTTCCATGTGAATCATTTATTTCTTGTACCCTCTGTCATTAGTATTGTTGCTGCTACTGTTTGCTTTCTTATCTCCGTGCTGTTTCCAGTAAAATGCTCTTACTTCAGCCTGTGATCTTTACCTTCTGTGCCTCCAATTCTCTCCAGCCTGCTGCAGGGGGAGGAGGAGGGGAAGGGGAGAGGAGTAAGTGGCACATGGTTTCAGTGGGAGCATTAAATTGGGAAATACCATTCCTAAACTATGGCATACAGTATCTGACCAAGGGCGGAGCTCCCCATAGCCCTGGAATAACATTATTAATCATAAAATGCTAAGGGCAAGGGGTTTCCCTGATGCCAGGATTCAGTCCTGAATCTTTAAGGCTGGGCTTTTTATTGGGATGCCCTTAAACCTTCTCAGCTGGGTGAGTAGTGCATAGACACCAAATTGTAGTGTTTTTAATGCCATTATGAATGCATATGCTTCACCCCCTGAACATCAGAGTGAATACATGAGTCAAAGGTGACTCAGCATCAACCATTATCAATAAAAAATAAGCATGCACTTGGTGTGCATAATACTGAAAGTGGGCAGGTCCTTGCACTGGGAGCTACAGGAGTATGGAGACACCCCCAGTTTGCAGTTTTATTTGAAAACATTGTGAGCCATAGCACCAGCCAATGCCGGGGTCCCACTGTGCTTTGGTCTGTCCTACAAGGAAAGGGACACACCCCTCTTCTGTCTTAAAAGCATGTGTGCTGGGGGTTAGCTCACCAGGTCCTCTCCTGCTGCCTCCCACTGAAGCAAGGACCGGTACACAGTGGTTTTTTGTGTTTCCATTTTGTGCAAAGGTTACAGAATCTGAGATACATCCTCCGTTCTGTAACTCTGGGCTGGAAACAAGATAGGGGGAGACTTGCTTTGTAAAGCAAGTTTAAACCTGAGTCCTGAATTAGGAATGGTGATGGTCTAGTCCAATCCCCCTGCAATAAGCAGAGACATCTTCAACTCAATCAGGTTGCTCATAGGCCTGTCCAACCTGACTGTGACTCTTTCCAGGAACGGGGCATCCAGCACCTCTCTGGTGAACCTGTGCCAGCATTTTACCACCCTCATTGTAAAAAATGTCCTCCTTCAATATGGTCCGAATCCACCCCCTTTTAGTTTAAAACTGTTACCCCTTGTCCTGTTGCACCAGGCCCTACTAAAAAGTCTGTCCCTACTTTTCTTATAAGCCCCCTTTAAGTATTGAAAGGCCACAATAAGGTCTCCCTGAAGCCTTCTCTTCTCCAGGCTGAACAATCCCAGCTCTCTAAGCCTGTCCTCATAGTCTTATCCAGTTGGACAGAGCTAGTAGCTTTTAGTAAGTTCAAATAAGTTTGTAGGGCCTCCTGGTGAGTCAGATATATATCCAGTGTCATCCCAGAGGCCTTGGCAGTACCTTGCATGATGCTGTCCCCCAGCCAGTGGCAGAGGCAGTAGGCAGGTTCAGTAGTACACTGGGGTTCCTTGTAGTGCTTGTGAAGTCCCTGAGTTTACTCTACAAGAAACATCTCTCAGATATGCTCCATGGCCTGTACTAATGAGAGATTTCCCCTGGATTACAAGCATTACAGCTCTGAATGATCTGGTGTACTCATGAGACCACAGAGTCCCAGAGATTGACCACCCGTTACTAGAAGTGCTACAATACAAATATCACCTAGCAGAGTGTTGCGGGAGGGGGGTTTAATGTTTTGTAAAAGCCATTCCCCATTGCCAAACTATTTGAATGCACCTTCAACAGAAATGTGGGGAGCAAAGATGAGGAGCCTCAAGAGTCTATGCTCCCCCCACTGAAGCAGAAGTCTGTGATCCCACAATGATTCAGATTATAGAGCTGGAGCCACCTTTCAAACTGTTCCTTGGCCCCTGTAAGAGGGACCAAGGAACACAAAGGAGTGAAGTCACTTGGGAGAGGAAAGGAGCTCTGTCCTGGATGCTAATGAAGGTCCCATAGGAACTGGATCTAGGAGTACTGGCCTATACAAATACCATACCATCACAAGGTTCTGGATGCATCACACCTGTACAGCTCAAATTTAGACCTTAAGCTCAGGGCTTGTGTGGCTGATAACAAAAACATACATTTGCAGAGAGGATATGTTTACATCTTTGGTCCCTCTACTGCCAGAGCAATACAAAACTGCATGGAAAACATGACCATCTTCCGAAAAGGTTGGGACATGGTCCTTCATGGAAAAAACCCTGAACTCCTTCCCACTCCCTGGTATAACTTGTGGGTTTGTTTTGGTTTGTTTTCTGATGGTGTCAAACATTTTTCAGGGATATGCGTCAACCCATCAAGGCTCAAACTCCTGCTAATTTTTTTCACTGGAATTTCCACCTGCAGCTGCTTCCAGAACCTGCCCTTTGGGTACTTGGATTTCTCGCCTTTCCATTTAATGACAGTCAAGGCCGCCTGGGCCCGCTTCAGCTCCTTCACTTTGCTCTTCTTGATGGCTTTGTACTGCACTAGAATGACTTTGATGTTGCCCTTGGAGGCCATATTCTCTAGACCAGCTTTGAGCTCCAGCAGGGCCTGCGTCCCCTGCAAGACGTAGTTGGGACTCAGGACAACAAGCAGACGTCGGCTTTTCTGGATGAAGCTCAGGGTTTCGTCTGTGACAACTGGGAGAAAGAAACATTGAGGTCGTTAGTGATGCCCAAGAACATGCTGCTGAGCTGCTAGTGTGACACCAGGTGTCTCCTGAAGGGGACAGTAAAACCCTCTGGAGGCCCTCTCTAGAGACTACACTGGTGCTTCCCAACCCTGCAAGTGACTCCAGGTAGGATCTCCTACACCATGGCTGGTACCCACTTCCCCACACAGTGACATCTTGTACTCCCAGCCTCAGACTGCCTGGAGATGCGTTTCCTCCTCCCTGTGCTATGTGGAGATGCCCAAGAGAGCTACATCTAAAAGGCACGGTACCACATGTCAGTGACACCAGACAATGCTATGAGGATGCCTTGTGGCCAAGAGGGCTGCTGATCTCATAGAGAGAGGTGAAAAGAGGCTTTCTGGAGCAAAGCAGGGAAATTGGCAGCTGAATGACACATGACCTCAAGGGAAAAACTCAGCTTGAAGAAGTATCGGGAAGCTTGAATGCCTATGCTTACATCCTCCTCTGGCAGATGTCCAGAATGACTCTGGATATTCCTTTCACTGCTCTTGCCTCAGTTTCCCCACACCAAACACACACAATATGTATCTACACATCTACACCCTCTCTGAGTGTCCTCCTGCTTTGGTAGTACTACCATCCTAACTCCTGTTACTCATCCATCTGTTCCCATTGCTGTCATCTATGAAAGCAGATTAGAGCATTTTTAGAACATAAAAGTAAACTATTCTGAGGCCTTTTAGTGAAATGTCCCAAAAATAACATCCCCCAAGGAAGGAACATGTCATGCTAACTGTGGATCCTCTTTAATATTCTAATATCTGCAGGTAGACTGTCCTTAGGCACCCTCCTGTAATTAATGTGAAAATCCCTTGTAAGTGTGAATCCCAGCGCTTGTACTCTCTGCTGCAGGATCTCCCACACTTCATTTACAAGGGAACACTCTTGACTGGTCAGAAATTACAATGGAGAATAAAATAATGCTGACAGGCAACTTCATTTAGCTGTCAAGCACGTTTGATTAGTTCCCGTCAGCTAACTCGCAGGATAATCCATCCCCCACTGTTTCTTCATCAAGGACAACATAACTCTAACCATGACACAGATGCACACTCTGGAGGCATGACATCAGCTGCCAAAAGCTATTTCCTGGCCTGCCGTGCTTTCCCAAGAAGATTAGTCAAATCCTGGCTAAGAAGTGACGGGGAAGCCCCAGCAGCATCGCGAACGGCAGCGTGGTGACAAGCCACTCCAGCAGTGCTCCAGAGGGCTGGCACTGGCTTGAAGTTAACAGTGACTGGCACGAGGGGCAGAGATGGGAGTGTTCGGAGGTAAGGGTGAGGGAGAGAGAGCCCAGGAGAACTGTGGTGGGAGGAAAATGACACCCTCCAAAGCGAAAGGGGAAGGATGGCAAGAAGCGGCAGAGGGAACAGGAGGAAGAAGGACATCTGGTGAGAACAGCTCAGAGCAAACCTGCTCTGAGTCTGACACTGCATCAAGCAAATTGAGCCTGGAAGGTCCCCTGCCATGTCATCCAGGCTCTCCCTAGAAGGAACAGCACCAGGACTGCATCTGTCTCCAGGTCCCCCGAGGTAAACTTACTCATTTATCTCCAAACTTTGAGGTGTTCCTAAATCCTAGCAAGCATCTAGGAGATAAAGATAACAGTCTCCCGACTGATTCTGCTCCCTTTGTCACGCAGCTGGGCTGAGACTCCAGCAGTCCCTCCTGTCCTTCCCAAAAGGGACCCCAATGGACTTTCTCAGTATGGGTTCTGTCATCAGTGGGGTCCTGACCCAAAGGCCATGAATTCAAAGTAGGGTGGTCTGCACTGGCAGAAGTTCAGACTTTGAACTTTTAATAGGCATCATGGGTCACACAGCCTACTGAGCCCCCAGGACACTGGAAATAGAGAGTGTTGGCTAGATTTGTGCCCTTGCTGTGGCACCTGTGTGAAGGTATGCTTATCCGGGGAGTTTCACAAACTTCTATTCTTGATTCCCTGCATCCCTGAAGCAGACACTATGTCCACAACTTTACATGATCTAGCTCAAAACAGGGAAAAAAGACTACATCTTACTGAAGAGATAGTCCCACTACCTGCAACAAAGTACTTTTAATTATAGTAGCTTAATTGTATGCCATATTAGACACAAACTCCTTAATTAATGAGGGTGAGTGGGAGGCATGTTATCTTCTCACTGATTTTGGCATGGTGCTCTCCACACCTTCCTGAAGCAGACACTCCTGCTTTTTACAGGCATTCACCATTACCCTCTGTGAGCTACCATTCTGGTCCAGTGTAACACTTCCCTTGCTTCTTTTCTTCTAGCCTTGACTTTATCCCCTTTTTTTAAGGCAGCTCAGAGGGCTTGCATGAAGGTCAGTTGTCTGGTTCCCCATGTTGATAGAACAACCACTCCTGCACATCAGTCCTGGAGAGAGCAACTGAAACAACCAAACACCATCACTTGCCCACCACAGCTTTTTTGGAGGCCAGGAGCATCTGCAACACTGTCATGTGAAGCAAAAATATAAGAAGATACCAAAAAGAGTTCATTAATAGTGATGAGGGGAAAAAACCAAAAGATAACCTGAATAGGCCTGTTCCAAACTACCAATACCTCAAAGAACAATAAAGAGAGGAGGTGCATGGAGCACAGCCCCCTGTGAAATACTCACTTCCCCCAGGGAGGCTGTCTCTGTCGAAGATACACAGCTTGTACCCAAACTCATTCTCCAAGACTCCCCGCAGTGTCAGCAGCACAAATTCCTCCTCCTCCGCGTTGCGCGCGTAGGACACGTACACGTCATACTCCTTCCCGTCTGAGCATTGGGAGCACAGAGAGACACAAATGGCAGAAGACACCTGTGATACTGCACATGCAGGGCCATTGACTTGCTTCATGGGAAAAGCAGGTATGAAGGCTCATTTTGAGCCCAGGTACTGCAGGTTAAAACAAATCTATTTCCATAGTTACCAGAGAGCAGCACTGCCTGTTTGACTACCCAGCCTGAACATGCACATACTCAAATACTGCTGGGTCGCTGAAGTTAGAAAAGCAAAGCAAGATGATCAGTCTGTTCTGTCCAGGCTCCTTTTGTCTTTTGACATCTTTGACATTGCTCCCTGTCATTGCAGTCTATCCACATGAGCAGTCCCACCAGACAGAGACTTGCACCCTGCCTACACCCTACGAGAGCTGCCACACCCCCATGGCAGGTTCACACCCCAAGCTGCAAGGGCTCGAACACCCTCCTCCTACAGAGGAAGAAATCTCACCTCAGAGTCCCTAGCGATGAACTCCCAGTAACACAGGGAAGCTGTGGAAAAGCTGAGGAGAGAAGGGTGATTTCCAGATGCATCCTTTTGGATGCCTTCCTGCATTTTAAAGCAGATCCCTCTGGATCAGATCACGAATTCTTACACAGAGTCACCAGAGAAACCAAGGACTTACTGAAACCTGGTGACTTGTCTTTACTGTCTAGATTGGATGAAATAGCCAGCCATCAGCAGGGCAGTGCCCCAGGGAGCCCGACATGTCCATGCTTCACCTCAGCAGAGAATACAGAGGACTTCTCTCTCCTTTCCCTTGACCCAAGCCTGACTCCTCTTACTCTGCAATGACCCACACAATTGAATGTAGGTATAGAAATGGAAGGTCAAAATGTCATTATGCTCTGAAGAGGGTTAAAAATAGCTTATAGGAAAATTCCTATATGAAAATGAAGGGCCTGGTCTGCAGCAGGATAAAATAAACGAAAACTCTTTAATATCTTACCTAGAATGGTTTCATCTGTTCCAAAATGAGCCCGATAGAAGAGGACCATTTCAAGCCAATACACGTGATAGACGACAATCAGCACCACAACGAGCAGGATGGTTGCCCCCAGTCCACAGGCCAGCTCCACGGTGTACTTCGGTGCTACAACTGGGTCCAAAAAGAAAGAGAGGGTCAGGTTTAAAAACAGATTAGGCCTTCAGCTAGGCAGGAACAAGGTTGTGTCACATGCAGCCAAACACCACAAAGGAGCAGCCAGGAGCCAAGTTGGCCCTTCAGAGTAAGGTGGCTAAGGCAAGGCTCTCTAGCAGGACACATGATAGCTGGCCACCCTGGAGAGCCCATTCTCAGTTATTAGGTCTAGTTGAGCTGGCAGAGCAAGTCATAGCACAGGCTGGATTTCTGTCTCTAAGCAAGATCCTGGGAGTAGCCAGATGGTAGAATGACCTGTTGATGGAAAAAACCCTTCATAGTCCAAAACCAGCTCATGAACATGACCTTCTCAGCAGCATACACACTCTTGGGGCAACACAACTACACTTACTTCTAGGACAGCCAGATAAAGTTCATCTGCAGCAAAATAAAGGCAATGGCTACTATTTTCGCTCCCCATCGGACAAAGGTCTTGTGGCTTGTACCAGACTGACAGCAAGGATATAACTAGCCATGGCCTGATCGTTTTCTACCAGGAAAGAAGAATCAGAGTTCATTAAAGAAAAGTTGAAATGCTTACAAACAAATAGGACAACCTGTGGACATCAAGCCAGAACATCACAGGCCCCCTCCAACTCATACACTGTCTGTCACACCACTGCTGCTTTTTTGTATTAAGGACAGAAAATAACTCTTCTCACTGTATCCCTGGGCAACTCTCCAGGTGGCAGTTGACATGCACACTGGCAAACTGCACAATGGAAGAACAGCAGGGAGTGGAAACACCACCAAATTCCAATATTTAATAAGTTTCTAATAAAAGTGAAGTACAAAAAATAAAATGGAAAGAATTTATCAACTTTCATTAAGTGATGAGCAGCTGAAGTACATGAGAAGGAGAGGGAAATAATCCAGAAAAAGCAAGAAATGTATGTAACCTAATGTAATGAAAGAGTTGGAGCCAACATATATAGCCACTTGCTAAAAACTTGAAGATAAGTGCTGAGGGGTCAGGTTCAAGCATTCTTAACGGTCCTATGCACAATAGGATGGGCTGCAGTGAGCTTAGTTTAAGGTAGCTCTGCCAGCAGCAGCTAGGGATTGTTCTTGGATTTTTCTGTGGAACAGAGCATGAAGAAGGGGTTGTGGGTAACCACGTCTGCTCAGGGAAAACCCAGTCAACTATCCAGGAGCAAGATGGGGAAGGAAGAGAGAGGATGGTACAGATGAGTCCACTAGAGAACAGCATTTAGGCATTCTTATATAGAGAAAGAATCTGAGTATTTCAGATTCACTTCTGGTACATGTACAAACATTATCACCCCAAAATTATGTATGGAGTATGAACACACTGGCAGATGGTTTTGGCCTTTCTCACTTATGTGTTTGATCTATTGTTCCTTTCCAACAATTCAGGAGAGGTTTGTCTCAAAGGAATGGGACTAAAAAAGAGGGAGGCCAAGTATCAAGAAGAAGGAGAAAAAGATCTTCCAGTAAAAACCTGTGTGAGCCTTCCCATGCTCGTAGGGCAGAGTAGGGGGAAGAAGGTGTCTGACGTGACCTACACAAGGCAGGGCAGCATTCCTTATGGGAGAGGGGAGGTCTGACTTACAGTAAAAGCAGATGTTGAAGCTCTAGATGAGGTTGATAAGGAGGCAGAAAGATCTGCCTTAACCAGGAAACCTCACATAGCCTTTATTGCTGAGAGGTGGGTCTGGGAAACAGGAACAAAATCTTTGATGAAAAAAAGATGTAGGAAAAACCCACACTGAACAGAGCTGAATCAGTCCACACCATCCAGGATGAGGTGGCTGTATCTAGACTGAAGCATCATCACAGCAGGGAGTAAACCACAGAGCACCATGGTTTGACCATCTCGTTCCCTGAGCAATGCCAGCGAGTGCCCCGCGCCTTCTCGGGGATGCAACTGGTAGCTGTTGTGTCACGCAAAACCTTCACCCAGTCAAAGTAACCTGAAATCATTTCAAGCAGCCTGTCCCCCCAAGATCTGCTTCAGTTGTGGTACATGGAGGGGATGAAGACCTATCCACCCCTCTCTCCTCCTAGGCACTTGACCACAGTACCCCGTCTCGAAGAAGTAGTGCAGTATGACAGCAGTGATGCAGCAGTGTGTACAGAACAGACTGTGTTAGGCAAAAAGTCCTGATGGAATTCTTTGTTCCCTTACTGTTTTGCAGGGCAAGGCTCAAGGCAGGACCAACAGCCCCCACTGCGAACACCTCACTTCACACCCAGGCTCTGCAAGTACTTTACCTTTCATGTGCACTATGGCCTGGCTCTGGTCCTCGCCTTTGGCATTCCTGGCATAGCAAGTATAATTCCGTTTTAACTCCTCTGGTGTGGCCTTTGCAACTGTTAGAGTCCTTATGACAGTTTTGTCTTCAAAATCTCTAGTAATTTCACTGTAAAAGAAAAACTAGAGCATTACATATGTGAAACTGCAGCAAGTTCTTAGTGGAAGATATTCCTTTCCCTGATATAATCTCTTTCTTTAAAAAGACCAAAACACATAAACTGATATTTATAAATCAATACATACTTCAGATTTTAATACAGCTGCAGCCATTCCTTTATCTGATTTCCCTTAATAATTATTTTACCACTCAGAATTTTCTCATTGCAGCTGTGTCACATTGCCTTTTAGAGAAAAATGGAAGTTCTTGCCTATAAAACAAGAAGATCTCAGGAACTCAAGATTCAGAGCTCACATCACATTCCCCATGCAATCCTGGATGAGTCACTTTGTCTCTCTCTGCCTGAATTGACCATCTGCAAAATTGGGGATACAGTATTTCCTTTTGCCTTTCCTTTTTCTACACTGGTTTGCAAATCAACTGGGGCAGTGACTTCCTTCCACTTGTAATTCAGCATCCAGCAAATGGGACTTGGATCCTCGTTTGGGTCCTTCATGTAACTGAATCCTTATTCCTCCTAATCAATACTACATATAATACTACATTTTTGTTTTCAGCCTCTGTTTTCTTGAAACATTTTTATCATTTATGCTATTTTGGAACATTCCTCTAAATATAATTGTCTGCCCCTGTTTCAGAAGTCCCATAATGGCACCAGCTACTGCCAGCACTACCAGGACCTGAACAAGGTTGTATTTCTAAGGACAGATAAGAATAAGACCGATTAGTTGAAACTTGTTTACTCCTATAGCAGTGGAATGATATGAAAATTACATCTGCAATAAGGAGCATCATAGCGCTGATGTGGTAGATACAGCCTTAGCTGACTCACTTATAAATGGGAAAGAAAGCCCCATCAAAGGTGGCAACACAAGCTCAGAAAAGCCTTTAAAGATGACTAACAAGCAACATCCACTCCCCTGCTGGTAAAGCCAATCATAGGGTCAAAGACACAGACAAGAGACAACATAAGATCATCACCCATGATGATGTGAACTGGATAACAAAGCTCCCTCAAATCCTTCTGTAATATATGAAACTGTCTGGGTCTGGAGGCCTTCTCCTTAGAGCTCCTGGTGCTCATCACAGCATGGTGTAGACACGGGGGTTTCTGATTAACAGGGAAGCAGGGGACTCCACGCTCCCTTGGGATTGTCGCATGCCTGTAGCCGCACCCCTCTGCGGGACCCAAGAGAAGATTAGATTCAAATGAAGATTCACATTTTACGTTACCTTTGTGTGACTTTTATCTTGGGGTCTGTGATGTCATCTGTGTTTTTTCCATCTATGGTCCACCACACCTCAGTCCGGGAGTCCTTCAGGAAGGTGAAGAAAACCTCACAGGGCAGGATAAGGTCATCTCCTGGAAAGAAAGGACCAACTGTGAGGTATTGCAAAACAGGAACGGCGCCACCCTTATTTTGTGCTATCCAGGGATCCTACCAGCCTGAGCTCTGCCTCCCTTCAGGAGGGAATGAGGCATCCACTTTCTGACATCTAGTAACACTTTAACGTCTCGGACATGATGATTTGTGACAGACGCATAAACAGAAAAAAATATCCTGCCTTCTCAAATGTGTTACAAATTCTTTGACTTCACAAAGTGACCCACCCAAAGGGAGAAGCTCCATGCCAACCACTTCCTTGGAAAGCCAGGCAGTGTTACTCATCCCCACTGCACAGGGGGAAGATGCCAAAAAGCAAAGGATTGAGCTCCACAAAAGCATTTTGATGTGGGCACACTTCTTCAGGAATTTGACTTCTGCTCAAGATCAGACTTGGGAGTGTGAATATCTTTGTGATCAGCACATAAGTGATTTTTTCTTATAAAGTCATTACTGAAGAAGTCTGACCTTCTGAGCCTTAAAAGCTGTACTTTAAAGTGAAGATTCTGAGGCTAATCATCATCATTGGCACCACATTTATTACAGCAGCATAATGGCACACAATCCATTCAATATAGGGAATTGCTCCAAAGAGCTATGAGTTGAAACCGATGGGGTGGGGGAAGGGTTTGGGGAAGGGGCGTGGTACCCCATTACCCAACACTCAGAGGCCAGCAGAAGGAGAGCTGTCACTAATGAGGAAGTAATCAGCCAAAAAGGGAGAGATGAGCAAGAAGTGGATAGAAGGCTGAAGCCACTATGGGGGTTAATGAAGCAGGGTGGGAGCAAACCACAGCCAGGGCTAGGGCCAAGAGAAGGTCCTACAGGAATTTTCCTAAGCAGCTCAGTGTTCCCATTTCATCTGCTTCTGCAGCTGCAGTCCTGCATCTCCATGCCTGAATATCTGTCTTTATTTATGCTTGCAAAAAATCAACTTTTAAAGCTGTGCTTTCCTATTCTGGCATCGGGAACTGGCATCCCACACTGTCTGCCAGGCAATTTGTGGCAGCTCGTGTGCTCTGCGAGGGAAAGCACTGGGGATGCGGTAGAAGGGGAGAGCTCCTGTGCCTGGTTGGGTCTCCCTGTCCCACAGGCAGGGTGTAAGGGCAGCAATTTCAGGCAGCGAGTGTTGGAATTTACCTGCTTCCAGTTCGTACACAACTTTCTCATTTGGAGAGATGAACTGCGGTGGCAAGGCCTTGTTTGGAGATCCTGCAGGAAACAACAGAGAGCCCCCCATAGGGACCCAAACTTCATGAGAACCTGGAATCCTTGCAGCTTCATTCGTGATGCCCTCGCATCCCACTGTGCATTCCCCAAACTAACTTGTGATACAGTCCTGCTGCAGAGTTCCATGCACAGAGAAATCTAATTCTAGTCCCCAAACTGAGGGCCAGATACAGATTTTGAGGCTTCTCCGAAGTTTAGGTAAGCTGGTTTGGGCCTCTCACATCCGAAATCGTCCATATCCCTCTCCTCTCCCACAAGGCATAACCTGTACCACTTTCTTTTTACTGCTGCTTTTAAGAACCAAAATACAGACGTCATTTCCTGTTGCAAATATTTAATTCAGCTCTTAAAGCAGCTGTTGCCATGGGACTCAGAATACACCCTACAGCTCACTAGGTTTTTAAGCTCTGTCTACAATTCCCTGGTAGGTAGGCTGAGCCCTTATGCCTGGGACAGACCTGTCCAAGCAGTGGGTACCTGAAGCTCTGCCTGGGTGATTAACAGTCCCAACCTCAGCACAGAAGGTTTTGAGATTCCAAGAAGATCAAGACAAGTTGGCTATAAAGGGACAATCCTACAAGGAAAGATGAGCAAAGGGCACTGGAGACAACAATGAGCAGGAGTGCCAGGGCTATGCACTCACATGCCAGCAGAGGGTACCCCTGGCCATCTCATGGGCTGAACCTCACCAGCCTATGCCTGGCCACTCTCTGTGTTTGGGGGCATTTGATATGGTGGGGGGTAAGACCTCTAGTGCAACATGTTCTGGGAAGTCACACAAAGCTGATCCCAGCAAGAAAAAATACACCGGGTCAGTTGACTAATGCAGATTGAACGCAACCATAAATGGATCCTGCGACAGATTCTTCTAGCTGTTTTTACCACTTCTGCAGTTATCCACATGCATTTTACATATTTTAAAGTCATTCTTACCCACCACCTTCATTGTTATGGTTCTGGTGAGATTATATGTTCTTCCATGGTCCTTGAATGTCACAATACAAGTGTAGTTCCCTTTATATGCACTGCGGACAAGGACGATGACAAGCCTGGGCCCTTGGGGATATCGCTCAGAGAAGCCATCCACTGAGTTGCAGTTCTGGAATCAGGCAGAAAAACACTTGAGTTTGGGATTCCAAAGTAAAAGACATTGGTTTAAATGCTACTACAGAGATCTGATCTTCAATTATGAATATGGTACTTGGGATTGTGATGCAGATCAGACCTATATACCATGAACTTTGAGCATGCTGGAATACAGACTGCTATGTTCACCTTGAAAATGAAGTGATGAAGCAGATGACCCTAATAGTTTTATCCCACCTTAAACACAGGCAGTTTTATAAAAGAGAGATCTCTAATCCAGAAGTACTTTTGCAATTAAAGTGAGCACCTCAGCAGAGTGAAAAGTAAAAACAGACAGGAAGAAAATGATGACATATTCACAAATGGATATTAAGACTAAGGGACGTGTCCCCCATTGATGTCCATCTTTTGGGACTAATCAAGCTGCCCTGACTGACTTCAGCTGAGGATGAGGCCCCAAACTTGGCAAATGAGAATCTGCAGTACAGAAATCTTAATAACTCCTCTCTTTCTGCCAGGCAAGGCAGGAAAACTCTGCCAAATACCAAGCTAGAGATCCCTTTTCAGAAAGGGGTTATGCAAATAACATCTTGATTGTCATAAAACCCAAAGATGTGCACATTTTCTAAGAGATTATTTCTGAATGGGACATTTCCAAATCAGATACATCCTAATGGGGCAGTTTAAGACAGGGGTCACATACCATTTTTAATGATTTTTATTAGGCACGAGATGACTCGCTGTCTGAAAAATCACTTCCAAGGGGCTTTTTGTTTCATTCTGCTAATTGATTGCCGAGATGTGAATTTCAATGAATGATACAAGTAAAGTATTTAAACTACTGGAGTGAAACTGCTCCTCTTGGATACAAAAGTAATTTTTTCTAAAGGGTTTTCTTTTGGGTCTTTTTTTTTTAAATTAGCAGATATATTTGTTGACAAATTCTTTTATTATTAATTTCACTTATACAGAACCTTCTATCTAGAAAGCCAAAAGCACTTTCTAAGCAGTTATTAAAGAATTCACTCCCATAACTCTCTGGCTGTACATCCCCTGAGAATTCCTATTCTCTATTGACTAAACAGAGAATTTAGTCCTACCTAAGACCTAGAGAAAAACAGTGAGGTCAAATTTAATAAAACTGAGCAGTAATTCTGTAGGCAAGAGCTTGAGGATGGCTAGAGAAGTCTACTCATCAGAGCAGTATGGAGGGTGGAATAGAGATGTCTTGATCTTCAGAAAAGAAGTTTGCTGAGTTGTGTCAAACAGGGTCACCCATGGGTTTTGCAAAGACCTCATTTTCTGATCTCAGAGGATTTTAGGAAGGGTGTGATTTTAATTAACAGGCGGGGGTTTTTTAAAGAGTGAATATGAATGATAATTTCCTTTACAGAGATAGTAAGAGGCTCAAACAGCAGGTCAGGCATACTGCCCATAACTGAACTGAGGCTCCTAAATCCCTGCTACAGTATTCTCCACTTGTGCACTCCGGTCAAAAAAGCTTCAGCATTATCTCTCAATTCCCTTCCAAGAGCAGTTTTACCCTTGAACTCAATGGAAACAAAGCTCTTAAAATTAGTAAAGTTTCATTTGCAGCATCATCACTGGGAAGACTCTCAAACACAGCTCCATGACTCTCATGTTGACCACTGCTTTTTCACATACACCACTGCATTCCACCACTGCCCACGTAAGTCTTTCTTACCAAGTACCACTTGACAGTTGGTGTTACACTGGCAGGGTAAAACCCATCAATATCTGGACATATGATCTTCTGATTGGCGTGCTCCAAGTAGAACATCTCCTCAGTGGGTTTTATCGAACGGCTCACACAAGAGTGCTGGTCTTTCGGAACAACCTCCAAGGGAAACGCAACTTTGCTGCAGTAGGTTGTATTTCTAAGGACAGATAAGAATAAGACTGATTAGTTGAAACTTGTTTACTCCTATACCAGTGGAATGATATAAAAATTACATCTGCAATAAGGAGCATCATAGCGCTGGTGTGGTAGATACAGCCTTAGCTGACTCATTTACAAATGGGAAAAAAAGCCCCATCAAAGGTGGCCACACAAGCTCAGAAAAGCCTATAAAGATGACTAACAAGCAACATCCACTCCCCCGCTGGTAAAGCAGATCATAGGGTCAAAGACACAGACAAGAGGCAACGTAAGATCAAAAAGAACTCTTGTGCATAGCAGATGCTATGTTCATTTTGTACCATACTCAGAGACACTTTTAATTTCCTAGAAGTCTGAATCTCATGAATCTTTGCCAAATTAGTGTGCAGTCAAAACATTACCCCTGCATCTGAAGCTATTTTTACTCTAGACATCCAGATCACTTCTTAATGGTGAGCGCCTGTGGATTTTGCCATGGGCTCAGCAATAATATTTTCACGGACACTTGCAGCAAGCAAGGAGGGGCACACTCATTAACGCTTGCAAGGCTCCAAGCATTATTGCAATGTAAATTGGCTCAGCACTGAGCGGTTTTATAATTGTAACATTCTTTTCCCATTAAGGCTTATACAAATGGTCGTCTCCCTACAGAAAGATCTGGTGCTAACAGCCTAATTTCCCCATCTCCACAGAAGTCCTTCGATTGCACTGAAGACAGGAGCTGCACCACACAACTTACCTGAGCATGCAGGTATAATTCCCAGTGTCATTGAGGAGAGCAGGCCAGAACCAAAGGGTGTCTTTATCCTTACTGATGTGATTGTCCGGGAGACGATAATTAATGGGTTCCTCCAGATCCCGGTCCTGCGCAATCCTGTACCAGATCAGGGTTAAGCCAGCAGAATGGGCTGTGCTATAGTTGTACTTCAAGAAGGTCTCAAAAAGTGGGCATTTGATCTTGGCAGGTTCCCCATCATAAATCTGGATCTGCTTCATGGTATCCACACCCCAGTCATCGCAGCGTTCTGCAGCCAGGAAGAACAAGGTGCCTTAGCTTGCGAGTCTGCAGGACAAAAACTGTTCTGCCCATGCTCCCCATAGCCCTTGGTCCTGTCTCCATTAAAGTCAGAGGTAAAAACATAGTGTTTTCAGTGAAAGCAAACTGGGCTTTTATAGAGCAGAGCAAGAACACTGTTCATTTCTGGAGAACCTGCAAACCTCTGCTTTCATTTGTACAACTCCTACACTTCTTCCAAGCTACTTATCTCTCATCAGGACAACAGAATAGGATATTCCTGCACAAAACCAGGCTTCCTAGAGAGCTTCAAGAAAATGTAACACAAAAATCTTATGTGGGAAGATAAAGTTTAGATGAAAGCAATGCCAGAGGTGTGTGTGCATCCATACACAATGGTAGAGAAGATGGAAATAGACGTGTTAAAATAAGAGGGGGGAAAAAAAAGTAAAAAACCCAACACAAACATCAACCCTCCCCTAGAGCTATGGGTCACTGCCCCTGACAGAAGAAGCTGGACTGTGGGTTCCAAGAGCAAGAACTGTCTTTTCTGTGATGGATTCATGTGACCCCTGTGCACACTATGGTAACAAAGAGTACAAGCACTAATAAGTGACACAGAGCAACTGTTTATAGTGAAGTTTAAGAAGGGAGGCTGAGGGGCAGAAGAGACAGTATGGAGGATGCAGCAGCAGGTTCTCTTGAAAATTCCCAGGCAACGTCCAGGTGCAATTCCCCAGTCACAGTTCAACAGGTTCAGTGTGGCTCACAGCAGACTTGGATTGACACAGAAATTGGCCAACATGAGAAAAAGCTGTACAGTGCCTTTTTTTAAATTATTTCTTTAAAGAATTTATTCTTCTCATTAGCAGATAGTTTCAGGACAAAAGCATAGTTCAAACCCAACTTCCTTCTGGGTAGTCCTTTCCATTCAGTTCCTCCTACCCATCAGGATGTCCAGTCAGGAAGGGAGTCAGTGCAAGCAAAGCACGGTACCAGGGTGTCAGCAAACCTGAGAGCAACCTGCACTGTCGGCACCAACTGAGACACATGGAGAAGCTGCTGTCAGTGCATCTCCTGTCTCCCCACGCTGACGAGGCAGAGCACAGCATGGCACGCTTCCCAGTGCATCTCTTGTAGCTGCTGAGAGGCATTTGCTAGGGCAGCCTGACGTCTGAGAACCCAAAATGAGTCAAACAGGAGAGGGGTGTGCTGCCTGCAGCGGTCCCTGGGAGCAGTGTCTCAGCACATCACAGGCTTACCAGAGACGACACTGCAAAGCCTCTCCCATTTGCAGATATTACAAGAACTCAGACCAAAAGGAAAAATAGAATACAATATGCTCTTTGAGCCAAATTCTTCTGAATTCTTCTGAACTGACTTCACAGGCCCAAAGCAGGATTTCTGGCATTTATTCTTCCTTAAGTAGACAGTGGGATGTAGCTTGGCCCCAAACTCATACTTAATTAAAAAAAGCAAAGTGATAAACCTTTGAGAAGATAGGCCCACAGCACTTAAAGGCAGTGATGCTAACTCCTGTGGCTCAGCAATGGTTAGTCATGGGGAGGAGGAATCTGGGCCAGTAAGAATAGAAATGTTTTCTGGCGAGTTTGCACATAAATGTAAATGCAAGCTGCACTGCTCCTCCTCTGGTATTCTGAACACCCATATGACAGAGTGCTACTTCTGGAGGAAGAGAACAAATTGGGCTAGGAAGAGGCAGTGAAGCTACCCAGAACACAAATATTTGCCTGTAGGAACCCCAAACCTAAGTGGTTGGAGAGTGCCATAGCTTATTATCTAAAAAACGTCTTTCACAACCGCACAGCATCTGTTGTAGTTTTAGTTAAATGGGAAAGATTTTTAGTGATTTTTTTTTCATACCATCACGCAATTTAGAGCATGAGGGACTGCCCACCCCCCCATCCGAGCTGAAACACGGAAAGACTGTCCCCAGCATCTTGGGACCTGCTGAAAGGTGGGTCCCTGAAGTGAAGCATTCTGGGAACTTGAGAGACAAGATAAAAACAGGTGTGCCCCAGAACTCACCCTCTCTTGGTACCTGGGATTTTGCTCACTGGAGCACTGCCGACCTTTGGAGCCTCTTCCCCAGGGACCGACCTCTCATTAGAGGTCTCACCTCCCGAACAACTTGTAGTTAAACCAAGACAGCATCACACATTATGGCTGCTACCACAGCCAGAGCAAAGGCTCATTCTGACAGACAAAACCCTTGTTGGAAGCCTTATACCATGGGAAGGTGTATGGTCACCAGTCACCACCATGATCAAGGCCAACTGGAACCAGTATGCTGCTTTATGCTGGAGGGGTCAAGCTACTGGATTAGGTATGGGCAAGTGCCCATACAGTGGTAATGAGACAAATGAGCCTGCAGAGACTGTCTGCTAACTGCATGATAAAGCATGGATTGCTACTCATGGAGAGGGGGCTTTTTTGTTTGTAAAGAAAGGCTCTCCCTCTGGAAGGAGCAAACCTGGGTCTGTAAATCAGGATACCTGGGTTCTCTTCCTGGCACCTGACTTTGCTATCTTCTCTTGGGCTGCATAAAGGCAAACTGTCCTTATTATTTCAAATGGCAGGACTGGGGAGGGAGAAAACTATATATAACATTACAGTACTGAAATTCTTAGAGTCAGGATCAATGAAATTTGCAATCATGAGCAGCTCTTGCATTTTGCAACAGACCATAAATCAGCACGGTAAAACTACTTACCCATTCTACCTGGATGAGTTATCGAAAATAAATACAACTATTTTATTTTTTTTCTTCCTACATTTCTCAAAAGCAATGCACAGGCCTTTTCTTCTTGGCTCGGGAAGAAGTGACTGTTATTGTTTTACTATAAGAGCTATACCTGGAGATTTTGTCTCAGAGCTGGCTAATTAGCCTGGTTTCAGGAACACTGTCACAGCAAAGAGCCAGTGCTAAGGCTCCCCACGTGCCCTTACCTGGAGTGCTGAAAGCTCTGAGCTGAACCCCAAAACCAGCATATAACTGTGCTGGTACTGAACAGCTACACCCAGACCACAGAGGCAGCCGTGCAGTGTGAGATCACAGGCTGTGTATGCCACCTGGCTGGCAAGGATTTCTCCTGGCTGCCAGGGCAAAGACACCAAGCACGGCTCTGAGGGCTCAGGGAGCAATGCCATGACCCATCACTTACAGCAGAGATGGAAGAAACACCCCAGGCTGCAGCAAGAGCTCCTTCAGACACAAAACACCAAGGACAGAAGCGGTGGCCTTTGCACAGCTTCCCTTCTCCCTGTGCTGTGCTGACAGCAGTACTGCTATTTCTACTTTTTTGGGGTGTTTTATGACCAAGATAGATGGGCTCTGCCTGACATAAAATGTGTGAGGACTGCAGGGCATCCCTCACACACACCTTTGTGAGCCTCTTGCTCCCCAGCTGTGAGGGTGCTCTTCTCCCCATGCCAAACAGCAACCTCTGCTGTGTGGGCACTTCTACAGCAGACCCCAGCAGAGATCAAACCCAGACAGCTGGCTGCACTCCACACACATGCATAGAGGGGATACTCACATTATTATTGCTATAATTTTATTGTATCCAACAGCTCCCTGCAACATTTTGTGTCCCTTCCACTATTTTAAGCTCTATTGGATTTTCAGAGCCTATTTGCTGCTAACATCAGCATGCAGCTACTTGGATGTCAGACTGAACTGGAGATAGCCTGAAAAAAATGGCATGACTTCACAGTGACCCTTCACTGGCATAAAGCAGCTACCACTATGAAAAAAAATACATATACACACACATTGATATATCCTGACTCCAGTAATGATATTTGAGGGAGCACTGCAGAAAGAAGATCCATGGATCCAGTTCTCATTGTGAGAAACAGCACTAACTTCTACGGTGCTGTGCCCATTTGCAGCAACTCACACTTGTTTTCACTGGTTAAGACTAGGAAGCAAATTTCTTCTCTCTCGAAACATTTCCTGCACAAAACAGCTGCTGGAGTTAAGAGCAGCTCCTGATTAAATCAAGTGGGATCAGCATTCATGCTGTGACTTCAGAGGTTTGCTAACAAATAGAAACCAGCACGGAGATGCAACTATAGGTAACTCCATGGTCCCTTCCATGCTGCAGCAAATGGAGCACTACACACATACCTGAGGGACACAATAAAATTCTCTAAAAATACACCATCCCACAGATGCATCTTCCTAGAAACACCTCTGCAAAACACTTTTGAAAGAAACCACCTTGTTCTCATTACCAATGAGGTGCACTGCAGATGCCTCAACTGACCCCTCTTACTGCTGAATGCTCTGCAATCACACAGCAGGGCAGCCTATGACCCATAATACCTACCTGTGACAGACAATGCAGGAAAAAGGCAAGAAATGTTCCCGCTTGCACAGCCCTGCTTTGGAAAAGGGATGAGCATTATACAGGGTGGAGGGAGGCTGAATGGTAGAAGGAACACTCCTGCCTCTTCAGCATTAAAAGACAAAGTGCAGGCAGAAGGCTGAGGGTAAGGATGCCTATCTTGAAATCATGTGCCTTGACATAAAGAAACAAGCAGGCTGTTGCACTCCTCCTTAATGCACACTGGGAACAAGGTGAACTGGCAAAGCTAACTCCAAGTGTCTTCCTTGCTTGGACTGTACGCTGCAAGCTGTGTTCATAGGGGTGTCTACTCCTGATACAAGGGATAGAAACTGCTTCTCTTACAGAAACTGACAGATTTGTCCCATTTCTGAATCTGATGCTATGATGCCCTTCAACACCAGGTATCCCAAAACAGACTCCTCAGAAGCCAAACAAAGCTGAAGAAAGTGGCTTCTTCAGAGGCAAAGTAGCAAATTAGAGGGAAAAAAAATAACGCCGCTCAGCTGCATAAAGGTGAAAACAGACATTTCTGGAAACCTTTCCCAGCCTTTCACTTACTGCACTGATTTACCCTCTTCACAGAATCAATTAGGTTGGAAAAGAGCTCTGAGATCATCAAATCCAACCTATGACC